CGAATGGGGGGGGAGAAGGAGAAGGAGATCCTGGCAGCCATCAAGGCGGATCTGCACAAGGTCTGGGTCAGCCGCGGGGGTTTCTCCCTTCTGGTGTGCGTGGACGGAGGTCAGCCCTGAGGAAAGCAGCGAGCCCAAGGGCTGCCTTGGCCATCCCATGTGGGTTTTGCTGATGTTTCCTGTCAGCTGAAGGCCCTGGAGCGCATGGTGCGGGAGAAGGAGAAGGAGATCCTGGCAGCCATCAAGGCGGATCTGCACAAGGTCTGGGTCAGCCGCGGGGGTTTCTCCCTTCTGGTGTGCGTGGACGGAGGTCAGCCCTGAGGAAAGCAGCGAGCCCAAGGGCTGCCTTGGCCATCCCATGTGGGTTTTGCTGATGTTCCCTGTGGTCCTGGCTCTCACTGTGGGCTGCCGAGGTCTGCTGCCGCCATTTCTAAGGAGGAGCTGGTCTATGGCTGGACTGCAAAGGCAGGTTCTGGCTGTCAGGTGTTGGCTTCTGCCCCACACACCCGGCCTGACCATCTTCTCTCAGGGATCTTTTGGGGCGTTGCTGCCTGTACCAGACACTTTGAACCAGCAGAATTTACCTTGATTTCCCAGGCTGCCATGGTGGGTGCAGTAGGTGGGTGCCTTTGCCGTCCCCTCCCCAAGCTGCCTGTCGTTGCAGTGTGGGCACAACGCGTACAGCCATGAGATCCTGGGCGTGCTGGGAGAGCTGGCCCTGGTCATGGAGAAGCTGCCGTCCTGGGCAGCCCCTCAGCCGGTGAAGAGGAACCTGCTGACCATGCGGGACGAGGCCTACATCTGCTGCGAGCCACTGGGGGTGGTGCTGATCATCGGGGCCTGGAACTACCCCTTCGTGCTGGTCATGCAGCCTTTGATCGGGGCCATCGCGGCAGGTGGGGATCTGTCCTTTGTGGGGCCGTGGGTGGGTGCTGCGGGAGAGGAGTGCGAGGGCTCAGCGGCCGTGCTGCACTTGTCTTGTAGGCAATGCGGTGGTGGTGAAGCCGTCGGAAGTCAGCGAGAACACGGCTCAGCTGGTGGCTGAACTCCTGCCCCAGTACCTTGATCGGGTGAGTGCGGCCCCGTGCCTGACGTGGTTGTGTTGAGGAAATACCTGTCGTGCTTTCAAAGGGCTGCTGCAGGTTGGAGTCGAATCAGTTCCCTGCTCCCTCTGAAAGAGCGTAAGCAGGAGATAGAGGAAGGGTTGAATTACAGTACAGAGTACAGAGGCGCATTGACGTATTGTTCCTGCATTTGTGTAACCCAATGTGCCTACGTAATGTTGCTGCAATGTGACAGCCTTTTTGACAGTCGTGACCGCGTGAAGAGGTGCGTATGTACTTCTCGCTGCAATGGCTGCCCTCTTGGACACTGTGCTGGGGTTGCCTCTACGTAAGCACAAGTTTGCTTTGGATGCTGGCTGCGTCTGGCTTTTCTTGGGAGTTGTGCAACTTCGCTCAGTGTCATCCCGGGTTTTTGTGTCCTGCTGAGCCCATACGTAGCAGGAGCTGTTGTTTCTCCTCCACTTGTCTGGCAGTTCTGACGTCCGTTGCTCTGTGTCACTGCGGCTGCTGCTCTGATGGCAGGGCCCCCTGTGCAATGTATGCCGGGGAATCAGAGCTTTCTCTGGGCGAGAGCTGGGGAAGGGGACAGCCCTCAGGAGAGCCCGGCAGGTCTTTGTGCCGTTGGTCTGCATGCATGGCAGTAAGTGCAGAGCCTGACTCAGCCCTGCCCTCAACCTCTGTTTCTTTTTATTGTTCAAGTGGTACAATACTGCAAGTGAAACTTGATTTCAGGGGAAAGAGCAGAGCTTGTCTCTGTTATTGCTGTCCTTTGTCCAGATCTAATGTAGCTCACACGTGAATTTGCCCCATGCAGAGCTCCTCGCTTGGTACATTTGCTTTAAATCAAGGTAACTGTAAGGCTCTTGTTTGCCCCCCAGGAGCTGTACCCGGTGGTCACTGGAGGAGTACCTGAGACGACCGAGCTGCTGAAGCAGAGATTCGATCACATCCTCTACACCGGCAGCTCCACTGTGGGCAAAATTGTGATGGCGGCGGCTGCCAAGCACCTGACGCCCGTCACCCTGGAGCTGGGCGGGAAGAGCCCCTGCTACATCGACAAGGACTGTGACCTGGCCATCGCCTGCAGGTCGGTCTGTTGAGGCCCTTGGTGGGCTCTCAGCAGTGGGGCAGGGACCCCGTGGTGCAGGTGGACATGTGTGGGCCATTGTCCCCAGACTGTAGGTGTCCGTGGGGCGTTTGTGGCCGGGCTGTGGGGCTGGAGGGGACTGACCGTGGGGAAACTGTCTCCTTTTCCCCTGCAGGCGGATAACGTGGGGAAAGTACATGAACTGTGGGCAAACGTGCATCGCCCCAGACTACATCCTCTGCGACCCGTCCATCCAGAGCAAGGTGGTGGAGAACATCAAGGCGACTCTGCAGGTGAGCGTGGAGATCCTCGTGCTGTGGGAGCTGTCCCAGTTAGAGCCGAGGTCTCCGTTTCGTAGCCACAGCCCTGGAGCTGTGGCTGTTTGGAAGGTGTGTCAAGCGTTTTGGTTCTGCTGTGCCTTTTGACAGGAGTTCTATGGGGAAGATGTGAAGTCGTCTCCAGACTACGAAAGGATCATCAACAAGCGCCACTTCAAGAGGGTGCTGGGCCTGCTGGAGGGGCAGAAGATCGCTCACGGTGGAGAGGCTGATGAGGCCTCCTGCTTCATAGGTGCTTCTGGCAGGCATTGGGGAGGGCGGGTAGTAGCAGATGCCTTTTTGGGGCTCTGTGTGTGTGTGTGGCTTGCTGGGGGTGTGTTGCACACAGGCAGTGCCGGGGCCGAGGTCCTGCGATGGACCACATCTTCTGTGCTGCTGACGCCATCTCCTGCCCTGCTGTTTGCCTCAGCACCGACTATCCTGACGGATGTGTCTGCGGAGTCAAAGGTGATGGAGGAGGAAATCTTTGGACCGGTCCTTCCCATTGTGACCGTGAAGAGCGTGGAGGAAGCCATTGAGTTCATCAACCGTCGGGAGAAGCCGCTTGCCCTGTACGTCTTCTCCAACAACAAGCAGGTGGGTCTGGGCTGTGCTCCCCTGCGGAGCTGTCTCTGCGCGGTTCGATGCTGAGCGGGGCCGGTCACAGGCACGGCTCCGCGCAGGGTCTGCGTCGGCTCCTCTTTGCACGTGAATCGCAGCGTTGGGCTCACGGGGACCACGAGTGTCCCCAGAGCTGCTGGAGCCTCCCAGTCTCCTGCCCAAGTGCTTTGCATTTGCATGGCTTAGTGCAATAGAAGGATAAAAAGCTGAATTTCTTCTGTGGCACCATGTAGTCTTTTGTGATTAATTTCGTTACTTTTGATATGTTGCTGGGGAGGCAAGCTCCCAGGTTTCCATCTTTCCCATCCCTCCTCTGAAATTTCCCACTTTTCTTGAGTTAACTTTGCCTGCAGAGGGCTTGCCTGTGTTGTCAGCCAGAGAAAATTAACACCACGACCTCTCGGCTCGTAGCTCCCCTCCCAGTCCTGCACAGTTACATGGCCTGGTCTCTTCTGGGCCTTTGTAATGTTTTGTTTGTTTGTTTTCTTTTATTAGTTGATCAAAAGAGTCATCTCGGAAACCTCCAGTGGGGGTGTTACTGGAAATGATGTCATCATGCATTTCTTCCTCTCAACCTTACCCTTCGGTGGTGTCGGTAAGTTACTGGAGCTCCTGGAGGGTTGTGACACTGCACTGTGTGGCACAGGGAGCAGCAGCGGCTGGGGGGGGGGGGGTGTGCCTGTTACAGGTCTCTGTGTAGCGGATCTTAACACTATTAATAAATTCTGGGAGCACATTAGAACAGGGGCCAAAAGAGAAAAACATTCAGCGTGTGCTTGTGGGAAGGTGGAAGCGTTTAGTGCAGACTGATGTGAAAGGTGCATTAAAAACACAGCTGTAATCGGAGCGATTGGCAGCAACTGCAGAAGGAAGGGCAGGACTTCAGCTTGGGGAGAACTGGAGCAGGTTACGGAGCAGCCTGTGGGAGCTTTGCAGAAGAGGCTTTGGGTGTTGCGGTGCTCACAAGCTGATGTGAGCCAGCAGCGTTCTGCTGCTGCGAACACCACATGCTGTCCTGGAACTGGACAATGGAGGTGCACCCTGCAGGGCTCTGCAGGAAACCTTTCTCACACAGCACCGGTCGGACCTCAGAGCCTCGGCACGGTGCTCTGAGAGGGAGCTAAATCCGGGGAAGAGCTGCAGACGGCTCAGAGGCACGGGGAGCAGCGCACACGGACACAGCAAAGTCCTGGAGAGTAGGTAGTGAATACAGGGTGGGGAAGAAGAGGGCTGGAGTACAGCTGGATGTCTTAGAGACTGAGAAGTGCTGCAGAGAGGAAGGATCAGTTGTCCTCCCTGCAGCAATATGGAGGAGAAGTGGTGCTTTTAAACTGCAGTGAGGCAGATGCAGGGCAGGTAATGTGCAGTGCAGCTGGCGAGCAACTCAAATGTTCCTGTGCTGCTTCTTAGTCTTCTGCTGGCCTCAAGCGGCCAAAGGTTTAACTGGCTGAGCTTGTGATGACCTGCCTGGGTTGTGTCCCTCAGGTAACAGCGGGATGGGCGCCTACCACGGCAAGCACAGCTTTGAGACCTTCTCCCACCGCCGCGCCTGCTTGATCAAGGACCTGAAGATGGAGGGTACGAACAAACTCCGGTACCCACCTATCAGCCAGAAGAAGGTGGATTGGGCCAAGTTCTTCGTCTTGAAGCGGTTTAACAAGGGCCGAATCGGACTGGTCATCTTGGCCGTGCTGGGGATTGTGGCAGCGGTGGTGGCAAAGGTGAGCTTTGGGTCTTTGACATCTACGTGAGTGCATGTGCAGTTTGTCTGATCTCCTGCAAGTTCACTCTTTGCAGCTGCAGCCCTTTCTTAGAGCCTGGCCTGGTTTTTCTGTCTTGAGACTTGTGCTGTCTGGCCCAGCTGAAATTACCAAGGTCTGCTTCTCACTCTGGCAAGTGGTACCTAGAATAGAAACGTCCTCAGAGAGGTCTCCTAGGCTGCTGTGCTGTTTGTTGCTCTGCCTTGGTAGGTGACACCAGTGAGAAGCTCCCTCCAGAGGCAGAGGTTGATGTGTTTTGGGCAGGTGAGGAGTGGTTTCAATTCCAGGGCTTGCTTCAGCCCAGACGGCTGCGGTTTTGGGCCGTGGCTCCCTGGGGAAGGGTGTCTGTGTCCTAAAGCTCAGGTCTACGACCAGCTCTTGTTCCTCGGCCAGTTGCAGCCCCCATCGGACCTTAGCTCAATTATTTCCATTTCCTCCCCAGTTTCCATCTGGGTAGTGCGGAAGGGTGGGATGTCCTCCCCTCTCTGCGGGAGGCAGAAGCCTGCTGGTGCTGGCTGGAGGACTCGAGATGCCTCCTGAGGTGGAGAGGCCAGATGTTAAGCTCCAAGTGAGATCACGGTTGGCTCTCCGTGGCTGGCGGAGCAGGCACTGCGTGTGCCTGTGCTGGCTGCTCCTTGCAAGGCTCCACCGTGCGTCCTGGGGATGTAGCGAGCGTAGGGGCGCAGGCGCTGAGGGACAGGAGATGGCAGGGCGGATCAGGACTCTGCCCTTCGGTCTGTTCTGCGTTGTCACTGCTGCGAGGTGACGTGCAGGAGCCCGACAAGCAAGGGGAAATATTTGAGTCCAGGAGGAGGTGTAAGAGCCAAGAACTGGCTCAGACCTTGAAGCACCAGCCAGGGAGGCAGGCCCTGTCCAGGTGGATGCCTCCTCAGCAAAGGGGGTGAAACTCACGGCATCTTGAAATCATTTGGGTTTTCTCAGAATCACCAGTCTGTGCTGAAGAGCAAAGCCCTCTTGATTGTGCTGGCTGTTCAGAGGCTGGGCTGGCGCAGTGTGTGGTAAGGAGGAGCAGGTGTCAGAGCACGGCTGGGGCGGTCACGGTGAGGTAGGAGCCTTTTTCTTCTCCTGCATGTAGACCTGGTTTGAGATCGGGCAAAGCTCTGTTAGAGTAGCGAATGTGGGGCTTGGAGGAGGTTCCCCCTGGAGCCGGGGAGCGATGCTGCTCCCTGGCAGCGCCCGGAGCCTGTGCGGCATCCGAGCTAGCCAGCAGTCAGTGGATGCTCAGAATCACCAGTCTGTGCTGAAGAGCAAAGCCCTCTTGATTGTGCTGGCTGTTCAGAGGCTGGGCTGGCGCAGTGTGTGGTAAGGAGGAGCAGGTGTCAGAGCACGGCTGGGGCGGTCACGGTGAGGTAGGAGCCTTTTTCTTCTCCTGCATGTAGACCTGGTTTGAGATCGGGCAAAGCTCTGTTAGAGTAGCGAATGTGGGGCTTGGAGGAGGTTCCCCCTGGAGCCGGGGAGCGATGCTTTTCCCTGGCAGCGCCCGGAGCTCGTGCGGCATCCGAGCTAGCCAGCAGTCAGTGCATGCTGAGGGGGCAGGGGGCCGGCAAGCTGGACGCTGGGGAGTCACCCTGAGCAGAGGGGCTTTGCCTCGGGCTGTTCTGGAAAGGGAGCTGGTTTTGTTTCAGCAAATCCTTCACAGGACGTTGGTGTTGTCTTTTGCTTTCACAGATGGTTTACTACTGAAGAGAGGAGAAGGCGCCATGGGCAGGTCATGTTCCGAGTGCTCACTTTGTTCTGTTTCCTTAAGCTGAGAAGTCATTTTTTTCTTTGGTACTGGGTTATTTCAGTGAGCTGTCGAGCACACAGAGTAGCCTTAGAGAGGCACTAACCAAGAGAAGGCTCAGACTCCTGTTTACTAAAAAGCCATGCTGAAGCAGAGGGACCAGTGGGTACGAGCTCTGAAACGGAGGACTGCAGAGCAAGAAACGCCAGCCCCTGCCTCCACCCCATGCCGTGCAGAGCGCTGCTTCCAGCGACGCACCAAGCTGCTCGCCCGCCTTCAGCGACGAACGGGAGCGCGCGTTTCCGCTGCGGTTGGGCCGACAGTGTTTTCCCTGCGGTTTTCGGGATGGTCTGTCTTCTGGTGTGCTCCGAACAGCCACCCTCTTGGTGACGAGTCTTGGGGCAGGCTGTGCTGGCTGGTGCGTTTTACCAATAGTGATGGTTATGGATCAGCCTGGTGAGGTTCCCACTTGCCGTTCAATTGAGGTGAAATATTCATGGATCCCTATGAGCCAGAACCACCCGCAGAAGGTCAGGAGATGCAGGCTGACGCTTTTTTGGGGGCTCTGGGTTTCATTGTGTGCCTGTGATAATTATTTGGCTGTTAGAGAATTACAAAGATGATACCTGTGCTGCCTCTGTTTTGCTGATAAGGGTGTCTTATGCTCATACGAAAAAAATTCCAGGCCTGTTTGGAGAGGTGGGAATCACGAAGTGCCCTGTTGTGGGTTAGCCCAGGTGGGCACGTGAGCCCGACACAGCCACTTGCTCGCTCCCCCAGTGGGACAGAGGAAGAAAATCGGAAGGGTAAAAGTGAGACAACTTGTAGGTTGAGATGAAGTTTAATAGGTAAAGTGAAACCTGGGCATGCAAGCAGGCAAATGAAGGGATTCACTCACTACTTCCCCTCGGCAGGCGGATGTTCAGCCATCCCCAGGGTAGCAGGGCTTCATCACACGTGATGGTGACTTGGGAAGACAGATGCCATAACTCCCAATGTACCCCCCTTCCTCTTCTCTTCCCCCCAGTTCGTGCCACTGAGCACAGCATCGTATGGTCTGGAATATCCCTTGGGTCAGCTGGGCTCAGCTCTCCCGGCCATGTCCCCTCCCCGCTTCGTGCCGACCCCAGCCTACGCGCTGGCAGGGCGGTGTGAGAAATGGCGAGAGCTTGGGGGCGTGCAAGCCCC